TATGGGGTATCTTTTTAATTCAGCTAGTACTTTCGAGTGCTTCACGCATTCATCTTCGGGCTGTATTTTTTTTGCCTTTAGAATCAAAACTGGAATACGAAATAAATGTGTTTTTCCGACCGAAAAATGTAAAAAATAATTATATTTTCTTGACAGAAGATAAATAAAGAGAAGATTATTAAAAAAGAAAGTTTAAACCGAGAAATTAATCTGGATCAACGTATTTCAACAAGTATTTATTTATCAAGCCTACATGTACTTTGAATTCATTTCTCTTGGTTCATAATTTAGGACTATTTAAGTGTTTTCAGATATCAAAATTTTCAACAAGGTATAAATTACAGCTATCGTCTTTCTCATTGTAAAATATGATTTTATCTATTATATCCGACGTAATATAATACTGAATAACTATATCACTAACAAAAACAGCAACATAAATAAATTTACAAAAAATAAACTGTCGAAATGGCACACGTATGACTGAAAATATTGTATAATGAGCTAACATGCATTCTGATAGCGAAGTTTTCTTATCAACTAAATGTTATTTCTGAGATTAAAAGTACTGAGAAGAAAGATCCTTTTTATTGCTCAGTTTCAATTTTATTTTTTAAGCGTTCATTGTGAGAATCGATGAAAGTAATGCCTGGTATTTGGGAACAGGGACATATATCAACCCCATGATTTCAGTTCAAATAAAGAAATTCCTAAATTCTTTGGCGGTTCTTTATTTATTGACATATGTATTATGTGTGCATGTCGGAAAGACGTATACGTTAACGTCACTAGCTGAGTAGATGAATACATAAAAAAGGAAAATAATAATAATAATAATAACAAAGAAAAGGAGAAGAATGAACAGAGATGGGTACATATGAAGCACGTCTTTTTTATGCCCTGATTATTCGAATAATAATGCTGTTTGCTGCACGTCCAAAGAAGCGTAGGTGGAGAGAAGAATCACTTCGATTATTCAGAGATGAAAGGGCTTAGCATCCTCACACTGCGAATAAGCACAAGCACACCTGTTTTCATGCACGTATTTTGATATCTGAACGCAGCTCTGTGGATTTATCTCTCTGCGACAATTCGTGTCTGCCTGTGTAAGCATGCATGCCTCTACGTGTACTGCAGTCCGCAGGCATCTAACGTTAGAACGTACAGATAAAATAACACGCCATCTAAACTGCAGATGTAAAAGAACACATTCTACAAGGAGTGTAAGTATTGGAATTTATAGCAACCGTCAAAAATGACAGGTAAATGTCGGAAATATTTCTTACGTCATTAAATGTAAACATAGTTTTTGTAAAATATATATATATATATATATATATATATATATATATATATATATATATATATATATATATATATATTAGGTAAAGTAAAAGGTATTGTGTATTTCTTCTTGGTTCCAAGGAATCAAATATGACATGAATGTTTTCTATAGATTCTTGAATGAAGAATCATTGAAAGTCATTTTTTTCTTACTGTATTTCTTAATGAATTTCAGTTGTACTTAAATAGCACAATTTACAGGTAATTAACAAAGGAATAGCTGGTGTCATGTTCTCTTTTTCAGAGCTTCATTTATAAGTAGATGCTGCGTTCGCTCCAGTAAATCTAACCAAAATTCGTTCTTCCTAAGCAAAAATAACTACTATTGAATCAAGATGGCTGCGGTAACACTATAGCTACTGCTCATACAAAGGAAACGGTTTCCAAGATGGATTTTATAATAGAAAAAAAAAAAAAGCACTCCCTTATCGAATGTTAAAGTCTACATAGGCAAATACGATCTTTTTACTGATTGTCTGTCAGACAAATTACATGTGAACATTATCTGGTATGTTCTTCGACTTCTGACTTGACAATCGTGTCGCTAGTTGTCCTAGCAGACTTTCGAAATAATTCCTGAACTTTTTTCAAAAATTAATCAGCTGAAACTTGTTTTCAAACAATTTTCTTTTAATATACTTAAGGTGCTGATAAGTTGTCGACAGATTTCCCAAAAGTAGAACAAATCAGAAAACATAAGATATTTTTTAAAAATCCGTACATGTTCGTGTAGAGGATTTTTCATCACCCCTTTAGATGAAAGGAATTAGTTTTTTTTATGATAATGTTCACCCAAGGCCTAAAAATCACTCAAAGTATAGGGCTAGTGAATGAGATATGTGATATGAGCGTAGAAGGAAATGGAAAATGGAGATGTAGAGGGCAGATAACGAGTGACCTAAGTCTAAAAGCGTAGTGAACCAAGTCTAGATTGTAATGTTCGATTAAGTATCCACGGGGGATTCTGTTACAAAAACTGTTGGTTCTAGGAAAGGAGCTGTCTGTGTGGAACACCGTTCATACCAATGTAGACGTAACTAACAATGCCGGTCTTGGTTGTAACGCTCTGAACTGGTGTCACTAAAGAATAGAGGTCGTCTGAACATTTGCCATAGAAATAGCGATAGAGTAGCTACAATATTGTGGCGATGCGACTGTGAAAAGTGAGTGTTTCAGAGTAGAAAATATCTTTCCCTACAAGTCAGGGTAAACGTATTTAAACTCTGTCAAGGATTGAAATAAGTATTGGGTTGCATAATCCCAGATATGACAGGCATACTACATATTTTAACTAATCTGTCTCTTGTAAAGACACGGTATAACAGAATAACAATATCATAGTGAAAAGGAAGGATTCAATTAAATTTATATAACCAATAATAGTATTATTTAAATTTCCCAGTCTGAAAAAATCGAAGAAAAAAGTCTTTAGAAGAAAAATATGTTAAAAATAAAACATAAAACATTATTATAATTAACTTTTTGGGGGAGACGGTAATATTTGTAAGAAGAAAGACTAAGAAAAATCAGATTAATAAACTATTTAAATAAAATTAAATTGTTACATTTCTGTGTAACACATTCAACATTTTTTTTTTTTCATTTGTTAGTACGGAAATACAGGTTTCGCAAACATAAGTTAAATTGGTCATTAATGCATTTGCTTTTATGAATAAACGTTTCATAGAGAAGAATAACAACTTTAAGTGAAAAATATTAAATTAATATCCAAATAATAAGTTTAGGTTTCCTAAATTACATTTTTTTAGTGAATTACGCACAAAATGTTTGTTTTTGCAATAAAAATATAAAATAATATAGAAAGTCTGAAGAAAATAGAATAATTAAATCTTATACTTCAATTAAATAAAGTAAAGTTAATCCAAATGTAAAATTTCTTAAACCAACTACAGTGTAACCCGGATATAAGATATTTTTCTCTAGTCCCAAATTAGATCCTGTGTTAATGTATATAAAATAGACCAAACCCAGATATAAGAGAAACCCGGATATAAGAGATTTCTTCTCCGGTCCCGACAACTTTCTTATATCCGGGTTACACTGTACTTTATTTTCCGTCTAAAGGAATAACGAGATTTGAGATAGACCTCTACTTCTGAGCGAGATTTGCCCGATGACATGACCCTGAATAAAGACAGCCATGTTTCAAACGAAATCAAGGATTTTAGTGTTTAAATATTTAACTGTCGGTGTAAATTTGACTAAGTCTGAAAATTCACCCAATGTTTCCAAAAATAAGAAACAAGAATTGTTTCTGCTCGTTAAAGTAATGTGTTCCATATTTATCACGCAATAACTTTCACTTGATTGCAATTAAGAGAATCTAAGGAGTGAAATGAAAATTCTATTCTCGGTATAGGCGCAACTTCTACTTCAGAGAAAATACATTTTGTGTGAACGAGGAAAACGATTCTACTTATTTCTTTAATTTACATTCATGATCAACAACTGACATATTGCAGACTTCAAGGATTCTTTATTGTTTATTTTTTTCTGATTGACAATAAAAACGCATTCATTTGTCAACACGAAAGCAATGGCGACCTCTTGCATATTGAAAATGAAGTCTTATTTTTGTTTCGCCTTAATATTCTATATTATTACGTATCCACTGATGTCTGTATTTATTAATTGAAAATCGACATACAATATTATTTGTACAATGTTGTCCATCTAAATGTATAATAGGCAGTGTGAACAGAAAAAAATTTTTTTTTTCAATGATTATTTGTTTTGTATTTGTAAGCACGAATATCAGTGAGTTTTTAAATATCGTAATAATTAATAAGAGAGCTACCAACTTTTGTAAATTCATTGGGGTTCCATCACCCCACCCATCACACAGAATATGCATATAATAGAACACGATTTTTAAATTTTTTTTATAAATTCGATTGGTTAATCGATAGTAATATATGAAAAACTAATCCTGATTACAGATTTCATTTTTTTAATTTAAGAAATCACGTGGTATGAACATATTTTGTTTTGGTTTCTGTGGAGGGGAAGTCAATATGGACTATGAATTTACAAAAAAAATGAACCACACCCTATTTGATTTTATTTACAAAAATTATGAAAATATTTAATATTCGTTATATGGAATGATTAATTCATAATAATATGAAAAAAAAACCCTAAAAAACAATGAAATAGAAAATTCTGGATCTCCACCCATCTAAATATTTGGTTGGAAGGAAATTTCTCCAAAGTTTGTAGAATATTAAATTTATTTAGAAACCGAAAGAAAGTTCCTTCAAAACAAATACATTTGAGAGGTCATACAACAAATTCAATTTATTTTAATTCCACTTCCTGATGATGTTCGTTTTGCAAAATAAATCATTTACTATGGCCTTTGACAGGGAAAAAAAATCAAGTGTTGGCGGAGACATATTTTGAAAGGTTATCGGGTGACAAAATATGATTACATGTTCCTTCTTTAGGTTGTTTCTACAAGTTTTACTAAAATGTGCGCATAACCCTCCCTTGTATATCCGCGTTTAACGGCCACCTAGAGTGTTCTTTAAGTTCGATATCAAAATCATTTCTTAAGAGCGTGTGCTATGAAGTTTAGCCTATTGACCAAATGTCAGATTTTCTTTGTAATCACTTTGTCATCGAGCCGTGAGCTTTTACTGCTTTTCCTTATTTATATTCCAGTTAAATGAAAAGGAAGAAAGAAAAAAAAGAAAGAGAGAAAAAAAAGAAAAAGAAGGAAAAAGAAAGAAAGAAAAAAGAAGGAAAAAAGAAAAAAGAAAGAAAAAAGGAAAAATGAGGAAAGAGAAAAGGAAAAAGGAAGAAAAAAGGAGAAATGAAGAAAGGAAAAAGAAAAAAAGAAGGAAAAAGAAAGAAAGAAAAAAGAAGGAAAGAAAAAAGAAGGAAAAAAGAAAGAAAAAAGGAAAAATGAGGAAAGAAAAAAGGAAAAAGGAAGAAAAAAGGAGAAATGAAGAAAGGAAAAAGGAAAAAAGAAAAAAGAATGAAAAAAGAAAGAAAAAAGAAGGAAAAAGAAAGAAAGAAAAAAGAAGGAAAGAAAAAAGAAGGAAAAAAGAAAGAAAAAAGGAAAAATGAGGAAAGAAAAAAGGAAAAAGGAAGAAAAAAGGAGAAATGAAGAAAGGAAAAAGGAAAAAAGAAAAAAGAATGAAAAAAAGAAAGAAAAAAGAAGGAAAAGAAAGAAAAAAAAAAGAAGGAAAGAAAAAAGAAGGAAAAAAGAAAGAAAAAAGGAAAAATGAGGAAAGAAAAAAGGAAAAAGGAAGAAAAAAGGAGAAATGAAGAAAGGAAAAAGGAAGAAAGAAAAAAGAAGGAAAAAAGAAAGAAAAAAGAAGGAAAAAGAGAAAGAAAGAAGAAAGAAGGAAAAAAGAAAGAAAAATGAAAAAAAAATGAAAGTGTGGTACCCTGTAATTAATCAAGAGTGAGAGAGTCTGGAGAATTAATATCACACAGAATAGAGAATTTGGGTTAATGAATGAATATTAATTAAAATTGCATTTTTGATAATATTTTTGACTTTCGATTCAGCTATTAAATTTCGACGAGAAATTCGTTCGTGTAGTGACTTCAAACCTCACTAGGTGCTCTACTATTGCGAACGTGTACCAGATACATTTGAGCTGAATGAATGATGTTAAAAGTACCTCTATCTCATTAGACATTCAATCTGCTCATATTTTCATTCCAGCCTCTATATATATCCTGTCCCCTAATCCTATTGAATTTCTTCTTGAAAACAAAAATAAGATGCATTTAACTTTGAGGATATCCCGGCTAAGATAAAAATCAATTTTCCATTCTTCTCAAAATCACGTCGACAGGAATTTGATAGAGATCTACGTTTTCGATTGAGATCTCTGGAGAATTGAACGTTAAAGCGATGAATTGCTCCGTTATCCGAAAGAAAGGCATTTTGCCTTGATATACTCAAAAGACGGTAAAGTCTTACAAAGAATAACAGATTGGGAAGTTATTTTTATATACACTTACCCCAAATGGCATCAGCGAGAAAGAAGAAACGGTAATCGACATATAAACTGAATAGTAGACAATAAGATTGCCAAGAGATTCAGAAATATCCTTTATGGAACATACAACCCAATATATATATATATATATATATATATATATATATATATATATATATATATATATATATATATAAGTATGCAAGTATATTTTTTCTTCTCCGTAGTTTTTATGAATAAATTTACATATATATATATATATATATATATATATATATATATATATATATATATATATATATATATATATATATATAATGTGTGTGTGTATATATATATATATATATATATATATATATATATACAAATGCCTAATATCACACACACACACACACACACACACACACATATATATATATATATATATATATATATATATATATATATGCCAGCATCTTAGTAATGTGCAGATACACAAGTTCACTATATACATTAATGACTCTCCCTTTATATATATATATATATGTTTGTGTGTCTTTATGTATAAATGGTTATATGCATTTCGATATATATATATAGGTATATATAAATTGATTCCTATCTCTTGTGATCACTCCAAAACACCTTTGTAATCATAATTAGACTCACCTAACTCAGACTTCTCTGCACTGTTCTCAGATTGACACCCAAACACTCTAAAATGTTCGTATTGGAGATTCCTGCGGGAATGCCAAGTAGTACAACAAACCGCTTCCACATTTCTGGAGAAATGAATTGCGTCTTGGTCCTCTTTTTCTCAGAGACAGTGTTTAACTGATCTCACTATACTGCACAGTTGACAAAATCAAAAGCAAACAATGCGCATGCGCGAAATGAAAAATATAAAATGGCGACAATTTACCTATATATATATATATTAACATACAACGTGTGTTAGTAAGTGCGATATTCATCAGCAGCCGACCAGGGATGATATCACGGTTTCGGTAGCTATGGCGAGACCTCCACCCCTGGCTCTATCAGTAGCGTTTGCCACGAGGCAGGGTATGAAGATAAGCTAATTGATCGTTCCTTTTTTGTAAATTCTTGTAACGAAATAAATAAAATGTTTGTTCTTCTTTGCAGTTTCTATCCGTGATGAAAGTTTCCTGAACGCGTTTGCCGTTATTGACGCGCTCGTAAAAATCATTATAGACGACCACGTAAAGTTGGTAACTGATCTCGAAAATGATTTTCAATCAGTTGTTAACTGGGGCAAGAAATTGCTCATAAATTTTAATGCCTCCAAAAACGTAACTCCTGTCTTGCAGTCGTCGTATAGAAACATTTTGCCTTCAATCAGCATGGCTGATGCTAACATCCAGGAGAGGAAATCATTGCACTTTCTCTAGTTATTTTTTTTTACCCACCGAGTTTAAATAGATTTACATATGTATATATATATATATATATATATATATATATATATATATATATATATATATATACACACTACCCATTCGTACGAAAATGTCCTTGATCATGTAATAGATGAAACCAACAGAGTGGACATAACACTCATCTTGCATAGCACTTTTTAATTATGTTCTTTGTCAACTGCACCCAGTTTCCAGTGAAACTATGACTTAATTTGACTGTGTTCCTCTTAAATATCTTCTAAACTTCATCTTAAGCGTTTGACGATCAGCTCTATTGAAGTTCAGACTGAGTATATCATGAACTAGATCACCGGGAATCATTTAGTTACGCCTGTGCTTGTCACGTTTTCTTCTTCTTCTTCCTTTCTTTCTTTCTTTCTTCTTCTTTTTCTTTTATATGCCATGAAATTTCAGTACGTTGGCGATCATGGTTCGCCAGAATGTCTTATTCTTAGTAGCTTGTTGTAAATGTTGTCTTTTTGCTATCTCTCCTAGACCTTTTTCTGATATCCATTTAGCTAGGTAGGTTATACGCTATTTTCATGTCCTTGTTGCATTTTTAATGTAAATTATGTATTTTTTCGCTTTTCTAAAAGAACTTATTATACTTAATATAAAAAATATTCACATTCGCAAATCTAAAATATTTTTACTATATATATATATATATATATATATATATATATATATATATATACCGTTTATTTTAAATACTAAATATATACGTGTGTGTGTGTGTGCAAATATATAGAAAAATATGAAAGAACCGTTAGGTTAAAAATCCGAATTTCTTTAGTATTTTTGTTCTATTAAAAAAAAACAGTGCTCAATACACAAGCAGAGCCTATATTATATTTATTTTTTTAAATAGGATTCCATCGCTACATAAGAGTTCTCATGTTTCAAAAACACAAGTTAAGAACTTCAATTTAATTATAGAAATTAAATTAAAGTACCTAGTTCTGCTTCATCCTCAAGCGAATTATGGAATAACAAATTCTGAAATTTATGGAGCATAATAAGCATGTACATTCGTAATATTAATTTCTATGGAAACGGAGAAAACCAATCATTTTAATAAGGGGCGGTTGGGTTTACATTTTCACTGACAACTATTGTATAAATATATTAGTTACTTTCTAAAAGAGGTTAAGTCAAGGTAGGGTCGGGGTGCCTATATTCAAACGAATGATGGCATCCATTCAACGCATATCGTCTGGTCTAATTCAACGACAGGGAGTTTTGGCACTTTTTGTTACGTCGTTAAATTTGTATTTTTATACATAAAGATTTTTTTCTGAAAGGGTTGTTTGTATATGAATACGTCGTATTGTACTATAATTTGTGTTTTTGAAGACTTCATAAAAGTGTTTTTATGATTGGGTTAAAAACTTTTTTTAAACCTATTGTTTAATTGAACTTGTTTGTAGAATTTGAAATTTAAAAATTTTTAAGCTAATTATTTAAGGCGAATATTTGTCGGTGTCGGCAAAAAACCGTTATCTCATGTTTTTGATTTAATAATTTTCGTTTTTTTTAGAAAATAATGTGTAGTTTTTCATGTAGGCATAAAGGGTATAGGTCATCCCAGGTTTTACAAGTTCTTGTTCTATTTATTATTTTACTTTTGGTGTTTTATTCGTTTCTTTTAAATGCCAAAAATATTTAGTTAGGGATGTCTGATTTCTATTTCTAATATTATTGAAGGAGCTTTTTTATTGCCCTGTATGTAAATACATTGAGCTCTCTTATGGATCCGTCTGTTTTAATAGCTTATATTAAAAGACCTACTTGGATTATCCGTACTATTTACGCAATTATATATATATATATATATATATATATATATATATATATATATATATATATATATATATACACCAACGGCCAAACGTTTGGAAACACCCACTGTATTTAATAATTGGTAAGTTTTCATAAATTTCTTTGGTTTAATTAACTTCTAATAAGCTGGGTTAATTAAATATTTTAACCCATTATTGCATGACGTCTATCTCTTTAGAGAGGGCTTACCAAAAATTTTTAATCCATCAACTTGAATATTACCATGAGCCAGCAATATACATTAGGTAAAAAGAGCTAAATATGGAAGATTGGGGCAACACGATTTTCAGTCTACACTTTTGATTTTTTATTTGTTCATGTACATCACATTAAAATTTCTGTAAAAATATATTTCACGATCATGTGATTTGAGAGTCTTTAATTCATTTTCTGATTTTGTTATCCATACTTCAGCTG